GCAGCTGCCACCTGCCCAGGCAGTGCCTGGGGAGGGGAGCTGCAGGCCTGGGGGGGGCCTGGGGGCTGTTTTGTTACCCTTACACAAAACCTTCCTCATTTTCAAGCCTGCAGCAGGACAAAGTGCCCACACGGGGAAAAGGGAGGCCAGAAGCCCCGTTTTCCCATTTCCCGTTTTCTCCAGCAGATCCCTGGCTCTGAGCACTACAGCCTGCACATGCCCCAAATACCATTGCAGCCACCTACAGCGTGGCCAGCTCAGGAACCAGCCCTTGTTTCACAGGGGGACAGGCCAGCGCTGCAGTGACATGGCCAGCCGAGCCCCAGGGCAGGGCAGAGTGGCGCTGGGATGCTCCTGCTGCAGCCGGCAGCCAGAGCACAGCCCCGTTGCCGCCCCGCTGCTCCCCGAGTGGACCCTGCTGGCTCCCAGGAGTGGTTTTCTCTGGCATCACCCGCACGGCACAGCAACAGGCCCAGTCCGCAGGATTGGGGCTGCCTCCCACAGGCACCCCCTAGCAAAGGGGCTGGAGCACCAGTCCCTGCCCTCTTCCCGGGGTGGGAAGAAAGGCAGCAGCACCTCAGGGAGGAGGGCAGCACTGGCTGGGCTGAGCTGAAACCCAAACCCTGGCTCCTGTCCCCCTGCCCAGGCAGCTTTCCTGCCCATGCAACCTCAAGGTTTAAGGGGGCAGCTCGCATCTCCCTCCCACCTCCCCCAGCCCCTCTCTGCCCATCCCCAGCAGCTCCCTTGCCTGCCATAATTTTCCACCTCTGAGCAGATGCAGCTGGGACCCCTTTGCCAGAACTGATATACAGCAATGAGTCCAGGGGACTGAGCCAGGACTTGTGTCTGGCTTTGCTCCGCAGTCCGTGACTCAGCTGCAGTAGCTCCGTGCCTCAGTTTACCCACCTGAAGGGTGGCAACAGTGGTACCCAACCCAGCTCAGTCCTCGTACAAAGACACAGCAGGACGCAGCCCTGTGCTCTCCTCACGCTTACCTCGCCCGCCACGAAGAAAAGCAATGGTGCCTCCTCCTCTTTGGCTTTGTACTTGGCGATGATTTTTTCAGCTATGGGCTGAATCAGTTGTTTCGCTGCCTCTGACTCTCCGTCATCCTCTGAATCTGCAGGGCACAGAGGTGGGGAGACAAAACAAAAGAGGCAAGGCAAAAAGGAGGTTAGGATCAAACAGATGCAAACTGGCCGGGTGCCGGCAGCTCTGTCCCACAACACCACCACGCAGGAAACCAGAGCCCGGCTGCGCAGCGCAAACTTCAAAGCCATGTGGCTCTGTAGCAATTAGGGAGCAGCTGAAACGCGCTTTTCATGTGAGACAGGGAAACACGTAACAGAAGAGCAGCTCCTGCTCCCGGAATACTTCACCGCTCACTCCCCGGTGCTGCTGCTGAAGCTCAGGGACAAACAGGCGCAAAAAAGCCACTTTGCAGTTTGAGAAGCATCGGGTTGTTTTGAAGACCAAAAGAACGCACTGATCTGAGGCTGCCTGCCACCCTTGCCCGCCACCCACCATCCCTCCGCCTCAGGACGACTGCTCCGCAGCTTTTCTGCTCGAGTCTTGGCGGCAGCAGTGCTGTGAAAGCAGCTTTGATTTGACAGAGGTAGAGTAGAAAGAGATGGCAACATCAATCAAACACCAGCCACCACTGAAGTTCAAATACTGTGCTGAAAAGAGGAGAGACTGCGTCCTTGAGCAGCATCGAGATGAAACGATTTCAATTCGGGGACAACTTTTAGCATAAAAAAAAAAAAAAAAGTAAGAAGGCAGAAGAGAGGCCCCATGTCTCCCAGTTGTGTGCAGCTTGTGCAGCTCTCGTGGTCCCCAGTGTAACCACCCAACACAACTGGTCCAGCCTCCGGCTGGGACAGGCAATGCCTGTTCCCGAAGCGCTCTCTACCCTTGCTCCACACATCCCTGTCCTCCTCTCTGGCTTCTCCAAGCAAAGCAGGAGATGACAGAGACACTGCACGCTGGGTTCCAGGGTCTGTCCTGTGTGCATGACAGTGATGAATACGTAGAGTTGTGGGGTGTCTGCAGGGATTGATTTTTCTACAAACAACTGCTGCTGGCGGCACTCCAGACAGCCCTGCACACTCTGGCTAACCCAGCCCTAACCTCTCCGGGGACGGATGTAGAATGATCGGGATTTATTCACGACTGGCTCTTGCAAAGCCTGCCTTCTCCTGTGGCTGTCGCTGCCACGCAGCACCAGTCTGCTGGGGGAAGTCTCCCAGCAGGACACAGGCTGGCCAGGAGCCCCCGTCCCTGGTGCCTGCCTCAGTGCAGCACCAGCTTCATCTCCACCCCAGCACATCACCAGCAGATTTCACCGAGGCCGCACCTCCCTTCAAGTGCTGAGCGAGAGCCCCAGCTGCCGGCCAGATAGCACTCTCCCAATGAGCTGTTTGCAGCAAGGTGACAGAAAAAGTTTGCTCAGAGCAAGATAAAAATAACTCTTTCCAGAGGCCTGCAGTGCCGGCCCCAATCAATCATGCTTGGCGTAGCCAGCCGGTCCTCCCCGTGCAAGAGTATTTTTGGCTCTGCACTCACATCCCCTGCTGGGCTCTGCTGAATAAATAATAAGGGTCAAAAGGAAATCTGAAAGGGAAGAAG